GGTGAGGAGGGAGGAGAAGGGGTAGTGGGGGAGGGGAGGGAGGGACACCAGGCCTGGCACCAACACCTCCTACAGGCCAACCCGGGGCAGGACAGCTCTGCCCATGGCCTCCATTGCTTCGTTCCAGCCCACAAAAGCCCTCCTGCAGCTCTCTACTGTCTGGCAACACCTCCAGGGAAGTCTGGGAGGCTGGCAAGGGCCACGAAGCCTTCAAAATACCCAGTGATATTTACTGCACACCTACTATGTGCTCAGCCAGGCCAGGCAGCTCACAGGTAGGTCCTGAGAACATAATGTGGACCAGAGAGCGTCTTGCTAAGGTTGCTGCCCAGGACCTACCCAGACCTCCACTTTTTTCAAGAAACGCCAGAAGTATAGGTTTTTATGTGAAATCTGCTTCCTAAAATGCTGGCAATTAATTCAAAGTATTATATACTGAGCTGGCCAAAGCACAGGTGTCTCTGGGACAGAGATCTTCAGTTGACACTCCTGAGCCCTGAGGCTGTGGTCCCTGCCCAGGGGAAGATGACAGACCAAGGGAGAGATACATGAACAAGGTCAAAGCTGGGTCAAATCCTGGCTGTCACTTATGCTGTGTGACCCTGGGCAAGTGAAAAGGGTTCAGTTTCCTTCCTTGCAACCTGGACTCTACCCCTAGAACTGTTACAGGGAGTTGAGATCAGGTACCCAAACCCCTTCCTATACAGTAACTGATCAGTAAAACCTTTGGCTATTAGGCTGCTACTAAGAGCCAAAGAGCTCTTGTTGGATAGATGCAGAGAAGTAGAGAAGGTACCCCTCTGCACCCCCTTGTCTTAGGGCCTCCAAAAGAATGAACCTGAGATAGAGAGGTCATCCGCCTGAAGTACAGAGCTGGGGAGCACAGCGGGTACTGCCCATGGGCCTGACAAGCTGTTCTCCACGACATTTAACATTTAGAAAGATTAGTGGCTGACTTTGAGATATGGAAGATTCACATAAAACTGTAGGTACGTCAAGCTTTCTCCCCAGACAGGGAAATCTAGCCACATGTGGCCCTCATTTCTAGTATCAAGACACAGGCTCTGCATGCAGTTCACCAGTGTCCCTGCCACTCCGTGTCTCACTCTGGCAGACCTGACTCCTGTCACCAGGTGGCCGTGAGCATCTGCGGGTTTGAGCCCAGGGCCCCATTCTGCTGTGGGCAAAGCCTCCCTCCCCCTTTGAGCAGGCCTGAGTCACCGTGGCCTCAACCGGCGCTGCCAGAGCTGGGGACCCACAGGTGGCTGAGCAGGCCCAAGTCCAGGCCAGACCCCCAGTTCCTTCCTCCTCGAAGGAGACCGCACAGTTGCCCCATTGGCCCTGCTGTTAGCCAAACAGCCTTCGTTGGAAAGCACCACATTCCTCTCTGTTGGAAAAATTAATCAAAATGACACCTCGTGAACAAGATGTTTTGGCTCTGCAGAAAACAAACAGTGGTTTATGAAAAATTAGCGCGGCTGCCCTACGCCTCTGGGCACGAGCACAAGGGTCAAGGCCAGACTGTGGGCTGGGACCGGGCCTGGGTCAAGGGCACCTGCTGCGGCCTCCCAGGCAGTTCCGAGGCCCGAGGCCACCTGGCTGGCAGAAGCTCGAACTTCCCTTCCGCATGGGCCAGAAACCTCTCCAGACAGGACCCTTGGGCAGGCCCTGAGCTGCAGCCCCTCCTTAGGTGGGTCTGGGGTGAGCATTTTCCAGGGGCCCAGAGCCCTCACTGGGCGCCTCTTCTCCCCTCTGACTGGCCCAGAGACCCTGAGGGGCCCTGAGGATCCCCAGGAACTCAGGTTCCAGTAGGGGGCGTTAGCCAGGGAGAAGACTCCTAACGGCTGAACCTTCGGCTTGGAGGACACCTTGTGCCCTGCTCAGGGCCCCAGTTCAAGACTCGACAAGATGGCACCAACCTCAAATGCCAGCCAAGCCCAGTGAGGCACCACACTGAGCAAATGTGACCCAGTCACCCTCCTGCCACAGCCCTTTCCCCGGCTCCCCAGTGCCCTTTGCAGCGTTCACTCCTCTGCAAGGCCTCGGGCCTGGCACAACCTGGCCCTCCCCATCCTGACCCGGGCCCCGGTGTCGTGTCAGGCCTCCTGCTGCTCAGTCACAGGCCCCAAGGCCAGAAGCTTCCGACCCCAGGCAAACTCTTCTGAGAGCCTTCCTCTTTATGTCCCCACTCCTCTAGCACAGGCTCTCGATATCTCAAATCCAAAGGCCCCTTGGGATCTTGCCCTCTGTGCTACCTGGCAGTAAAACTCTCTGAGGTTGAAGACGAAGTGAGCAGCCCAGTCAGAAGTCTCACAGATGGGGACTGGTGGCAGTGAAAGAGAGGTGCCACTCTTAGTTAAGCACTTGCGACACTGTAAGAATCATTGCCAAAGTATAATCCAAAGCACACCTTCCACACAGCACAGCACAGGCATGCAGATGTGTGCACTGGGAAAGAGTGTCCGCTGGAGAGTGGCAACGGGAGCCGCGCGGCACCTGGGCCCTATGCCCGAGATGTCAGGCTGGCTCGGCCTGTGGGCTGAACATGTCTCTCTCAGTGGGCAAAGGCCTGGGCTCAGACCAGGAGCTCCCTCTGAGGTGGCACACCGGTGTGCCTGGGCCACCTCTACCAGAGCAGCCCTTGGTGCTAGCCCAGACCACAGACACAGTCCACTTCCAGTCTCCAGTCACACGGCCAGGGGAAGGGACCGCTGGTGTCACACCGGCCTGGTGTGTGGAGAGACCCAGACTGCCTGCCCAGCCTTCTTCAGCTGCAAAGTGAAGAGCAGAGGGAAGGGGGAAGAGGTGGCCACCTGTGAGAAAGGCTGGGCTTAGGAGAA